TGCCTCCTAACTTGTGCGGATCATGAATCAATTAGTTGCTAAGTAGAAACAGAGCATTTTCAAGACTTAAAGAAGCTGCTACTATTAACCAGGGTCTAATGGTTTTTGTTTTCTTATTCACAAGTCTACTCAGGCTTTGTAATGCCAGTCTCTGCACCGCTAGGACCAGGAGACTCGTCTTTTGTTTCAACGATCTCCATACTCGCGGATTTGCTCCTTCTTTTCTTCCTCTCCTGCCAAAACATGAAAGATTTTGTTATGATTTCTTATGAAACATATAAACAATTTTTTGCAGCTTTTGAACGTCATTACTACTACCTCGCGAAAAGGGTGCTCATCGGATTCAAGCATTCGCACAACCTGGCTCATTCGTGGACGTTTCTCTGCTTCAGGATCGACACATCTAAGTGAAACCAATAGTGCACGTTTCAGAGCAGTTTTACTCGGTCTAGGTTCAAGTCTTGGATCAACAACTTCTTCAGCTCTTCTTGTTCCAACCATCATCTTTAGCCATTCAACAAGATTCACCTGCCAATATAACAAAACCCGAATCAAGATTCCAAGAAACGAAAATATTCATAACTTTTTGTCGATACAATGGCCAATTCATTAAGCCACACCTCATTAGCAGGACGTCCATAATCAACCGGATCTCGTCCAGTTACAGCTTCAAGAAGCAAAACACCAAAGCTATATATATCGCTCTTCTCGTTTAACAGACCTGTATTAGCATATTCCGGTGCTACGTATCTGAAATAATAACCAAAAACACACAACAACAATGATTTCCTTTGTAAGGACAACAATAATTAACCATAATTGCCTCAAGAGGGTACAAAGATTTGGACTTTACCCAAAGGTTCCCATAACTCTGGTTGTGATGTGACTCTCACCAGAGTCCAAGAGCTTAGCTAACCCAAAGTCAGAGAGTTTTGCATTAAACTCATCATCAATCAATATATTGCTTGCTTTTATATCTCTATGGACCACTTTTGGTTCTATTGCTTCATGTAAATAAGCAAGCCTGTAAAGTTGTACAAAATTGCAGAACCATTTTAATATATCCAAGCATTCAACATATCAAACAAAAGCTAAACTGTTTCAAAACCACTTACGCTTGTGCGGTACCAATAATGATCTTCATTCGTGCCCCCCAAGTGAGAGTGCCATGTTGCCTCATAGCTCCATGTAGCCATTGTTCTAAGTTACCACTATTCACATACTCATAAACAAGCATCCTGCATTCACCAGTTTATTTAGATACTGTAAATCATTCTTCCCCGCGGTAAAAGTATAGGAGGAATCAAAGTGAAACTCACCGATGAACTCCCTCTATGCAATATCCTAAAAGCCTAACAAGATTCTTGTGTCGTACATGACCAATAGCCTCAACTTCTACCCGAAATTCCTTCTCAGCTTGCCCTCTAGAGATCAAACATTAGATATTAAGGAAACGAAACACAGGGATTCACAAACATTAGATATTCCAGTTGAAGACTTACAGATTATTCAGAAGCTTCTTCACAGCAACCTCGGTACCATTAACAAGTTTACCTCTATAAACTACTCCATAGCCACCCTCTCCAAGCACATTTTCCGCAGCAAATCGATTGGTAGCTAGCTGAAGATCCCTAAGAGTAAACCAATGTCCCCAACCAAGATGAGATATTTCTGGTAAACCAACCAAAGGAGATGCTGTTACAAGTCCCCCATACTGTCTCCCAGTACTTGCAAAGCCACCTTCGTCACCAGAATGAGAACTACAAGCTCTCTCATGGTGATTCACAGAGCTACATTGACTCAAAGTATCATTATCACTATACTTGGTTCTTCCCAAATGAGACATCATCGTTTTTCCAGAAACTCTATCAGTGGATTTAGCATTATTCATTGCTATATATAAACTTTCAGGGTGAGGATTTTGATTCTGAAACCTGCCCCTGTCGACTCTGATATCTTTCAACACATTTGGTATTTGGTTGAATGGAAACTTGCTTGAAGATCTTCTCGATTTCCGGCGGAATGTAATCCATAGAGACAAGATGCAGAGAATCATAACTATGAATACTCCAACTACCAAACAAACCCATACCCACAATTTCAATCCTTTCAAACCAAAAAATGATATCTTTTTCGACATTTCAGCGTTTAAAGAACTCTCAGGCGGCATCTCTGGTTCAGTATCTCCTTTGACAAAACCTTCTTTTTGCTTCTCTTACAACTTCACTATAACCACCTAAGCAACAAAAGAATGTCTCACATTTAAACACTTGCATACACCATAAAAGGACTCATTTTAAAACTTCTCATTTGACATTTAGCAATAACCAACACAGAAACATAAACATGAATCTGACAAAGCGATGATTCTTTGTCAAATTTGTTAAAAAAAAAAAAAAAACTCACACTTTCATTGGTATTTCAGTAATTTAATTGCGGCATATCAACAAACAAGTTATGGGCATTACGTGTCCCCACAAGAAGATTAGAGTTAAGAAAACAAGAGAATCTCGGCTTTTAAAACCATCGAAAAAGCATCACTTAAGTTTGAAGCAAGAGACAATTTTACAGAGAATCAATCACAAAACTCTATCGAAAGAAAACATTCAAAGAGAAAGAATATGAAGAATAAATTTACCTTAGAATGTGAAGTGACTAAGCTTTACCCTTTTGATTAGAACAGAAGAAACAATGGAGAAAAGGCTCCATTTTTATTATGAATTTGAAGCAAACTTGAAAGAGAATGAAATAAACAACAGAAAGCAACTGGTATAGATATATACCAATGATGAATTTGGATATAAAGTTTGTAGATTTAGCTTTGAGCCCACCAAGAAGGAACTCGATTTAGGGTTATGGCTATTCCACTAAAGAATCAGAGGAAAATCCAAAAAAAATCATAATATAACAAGGAAGTGATCAGTGTTATGTATAAACTCAGTAATGGAAAAAAAGTTGGTGGGTATGTATAAAAGCTGGAAAATATAAAGCTCTGTTTGCTATGGAGGAAACAAG